TTTTATTTATTTGGATATTATAGAACATAATAACCAAGTTTTCTTATATTGTTAATAATGTCCTTTTTTTATTGTAATCATTTTACATTTTTTTTTGAAAATTTGGGCAAATTATATAATTATATAAAATTTACTAATAGGTTAAATCACCTAAATTAAAATTAGTCTTATACATATTTAAAAAAAACCGAAAAAAACATATTATTCAAGGCATATATAAAATTGTACATTTTTCTGTATTTCTTAATATAAAACGGAATATATATAAAAACCATATTTTATATTTTATGGTTTTTTTCAGAAATATCAGAATATCAATTACAAATATTCATTAGAATTTTTAATTTAATTATAATAACAAGTAAATTATTAGTATTGTTGGACGGCATTAATGTTTGTGTACTACCATTCAAGTATTGCATCATATATGACAGAGATTACAAGAGATTGACAGTTTACGTAACCTGACACAGTTTTAATATAAGGCATTACTACCCAATTAAATTACAATATTAGATCACATGATTTTCACTAAGATTTTTGCCTAGAAAATTACGTAATAAGTGTCATAATATGTATCGTAATATGAGAGAATCTGGGCGCAGCATTTCAAATGAGAAAAAAAAAAAAATTTTAATCGTCAATTTTTGCGAGTTGGGTGGATTGAACACCCGGCCTTCAGATTACGAATCAACTTCAGTCTGACGCTCTCCCAACTGAGCTAAACTCGCAAGATTCGTTAAAAGGAAATTTTATTTCAAATTTTGAATAAAATAAATATAAAATTTTTGTGTGTTATTTATCTTGAATAAACTTGATTAATTTTGATTAATTTGATTAATAATTGATTAAACTTGATTAGATTTCCAAACATTATATCATAATATTTTATTTTGGACACGATTAAGACGTAAGAATAAAAACGCCAAGATGTATGAAAATTTAAAAAGCAACGATTGGTGAGAATTTTTCTGCTTACGAAAAGTTTATTGTTTGAAAATGGAGAGAAAATTATTTATTCGTTTCCGAAATGCTTAAAATTTTATTTGTCGGTTATCTGTTACCTTTTTTGCAGAATTTTTTTTTTTTATCAAACAACGAATTTTTATTTCCCGATATTAAATAAAATAAATAAATTGTTTACCGTATGATGTTTTCATTATTACAATTTAATGGCCAAACAATTGGTTTTACTTTATATAATCCATAGATTTATATTTATGTAACTGTTACTAAACTAAAATAAGACAAATACAACGAAATAAGCTATGTACGCCAAAAAAAGCGAAATTTTGTTTACCAAAATGGTTTACTATGCCGAATAAAAAAACTTGAAAGAACGAGGCGCAGCTTGACGAAAAGTTTACACCCGAAACGTGGCTGTTTATTTGATGCACATCAATTTGTTCAAGCATCCAACATGCATAACTTATTATACATTTTTAATTAGAAATCGACAATAGGCATCTTTCTTCTATAAAGAACATACTTGTATGAACTATAAAATTGATGTACTGTACATACATCGGTACATATAAAAAAGGATTGAAATTTTTTCTTAAAAAAAAAAAAAAAAAAAAAAAAAAAAAAATTTAACCTTCCTTTATACTTCTTTCTTTCTTTTTTATACATATATATATAAAAAAAAAATGTCACTTTTCAAAAAAAAAATAAAACAATTTACATCACTTTATAAATGTAATACAATTTATTCATCAATAAAAGAACAAGAAATTTTGCTGACAATTATTACAGAATTAAATGAAATATTTATAAAAGAGCATAATTTAGGTCGTACGATACCTGAAATACGAAATTCATTGGTAAAACAAATTAAATTACGAAAACAAAGCGCAACAAGAATTTATAATCATCTTTTGAGAAGTCATGAAAATAAAGCTGAACTTATTTGTTTATTAGGATGGTTTAATTTAAGAGCAATTGGTACAATACAAAATCATGAAGAAGCTTTTAATTTATTTCAAAAATCAGCATCCAAAAATTATGCACTAGGACAATTTTACTTGGCGATTTGTTTCGAACAAGAAATTGGTACAACAAAAGATGAATTGATGGCATTATATTGGTATCAAAAAGCAGCAGAAAATGGAGAATGTTCAGCTCAAGTTAATTTAGGACTCGAATATGAAATAGGGAAGAATTTAGAAAAAGATTATGAAATAGCAGTATCTTGGTATCAAAAGGCTGCAGTTAAAGGACATTTAATCGCTCAGTATAATTTAGGTAGAATGTATGAACATGGGTTTGGAGTGGAAAAAAATTATGATAAAGCTTTTGAATTAATGAATATATCAGCACAAAATGGGTATCCCAATGCAGCTTTATTACTTGGTTGTTATTATTTAAATGGGAATGGTTGTGTTGCTAATCTAGAATTTGCTTTCAAGTATTTCAAGATAGCAGCAGAAAAAAATGTTGCAGGAGCACAATACGTACTTGCCGTTGCTTATGAAGAAGGTCAAGGAACGGGAAAAAACTTTAAAAAAGCAATATATTGGTATAAAATTGCGGCTAGGAATGGTTATCAAGATGCAAAAGATACTCTTTTAGAATATTTACTCGATGATAAAATTTCTTTAAAAACTTAATATTCGATATGTATGTATAATTAATTTTATTATTTGTAAATATTAAAAAACTTTTTTTTTTTTTCTTCTTTTAGAAATATAAATAATTAGTATTATAATTAGAATTGAACATTGTGGAAGTACAGAGTTTATTAAAAGTTTACTAAGAGTTTATTAGGAGGTTATTAAGAGGTTATTAGGAAGTTATTGGGAAGTTTATTTGAGAATTTATTATGACGCATGTTGGTATGTTGGTAATAAAAAGGTTTTAAAGGAATTTAAGGGATTTAAAGGATTTTGTGTGTGTCTACTATATGTCACGTGATATTTATGTCATACTGTCATACATTTTATGGCTAAATAAGATAAAAGTCGCCTTAAAAAAATATTTTATCCGGCTGAAATTATATAAACTTTAATTCTAAAACCATGATCACGAACTTAAAAGAACGTACATATAATACATACAATCGTGTTACTTGACTAATAATTCTATTCATTACCTTGCATTAGAATTACTAAATTTGTTAATAAATGACATACAACATTAAAAATACAATTTCAATAAATGGAAATTGTAACAAGAATGTATGGATTTTTTTTTTTTATGTTCCATTCTGTGAAATGTGCGTAATGAATAATATTTTTAGTAAAAAAAAGCCAAAAAATATTTCCGATATTTTTTTTTTTTTACTCCGACAAATATATTATTTATTAATTTATACAGTAGTAACAGTTGCAACAGTAGTTAAATAACAATCAATTGAATAAGTTAAAGGCTAACGTAAAAACTATATTTCCGGGTTATTTATTACAATATATATTTATATAATAAAACTTCTTCGATTTTTATTGGTTGATCGATTTAAAAGTTTGGTAAAGTTATATGATAACGACTTTTTGAAAACTTTTTCATTACTACTCAATTTATATACTTACGAATTATAAACATTATAAACATTGTAAAACAAATATGCAAATAAAAGTTAATTGAATGTTGCAATCAAATTTATCCTGTTAAACTCCGGAATTTCCTTGATATGGTAGTTTAATAGTTTTTAAATTTCCAGGTGTTTTACTATTTTAAAAGATTTAATGGCGCAGAATTCAAATTTTAATTCGTTGTTACGAAATCAGAAATAATATTTGATGATTTGTTTACATTAGGGGTTATATAATGAAATTATTTGTTTATTTTTTTTTCGATTGCTCAACAATAATAAATTTGAAGAGGAATACAGTTTCTCAAATTAACCAAATATTTACTACTCGATTATTCTATTTTTAGGACCGCCATTGGTGAGAGATCGTATAAAATATAACAAGTTAAAGTATTTAATGAAACTAATTTTTAACGGTTAAATGCTAAATTGGTATTTGGTACTTGAGAAAATTAATATTTTAATTTGAAAGAAGCCACATTTGTGATCTTGTGGACAAGTTAAAGTTAATAAAATGATATACAGAAAATAAAACAAGCAAATTAAGTTATTAAAAACCTAACATTAAAATTTCATTTATTCGACTATTAAATAATAATTAATATTATGAAACATCAATGTTACAAAACAATAGAAAAAAAAACAAACTTAAAATATATAATTATAGAAAAAGTTGTATTAAATGTATTAAAACGTCTGTGTCTTTGTAAAAAAAATTACAAAAATACTCCGATTGGGCTGGATTTACAAATTTATCGGAGATTTTTTTGATTTTTTTTTTGTTGATGATACTCCCTTTTTTTTGCATTTTTGCATTTTTGCATTATTAATCGAAAGATTAAGGGATTTTCCTATTTTTGGATTATCTAGGACCATATCTCTTTCTTTATGATGTCAAGTAAACGGCGATATTTTTACCGTAAGCGCCGAAAATCAACCGTTTCAGGATTTAAAATTCCGATAATTTATTAAAACAAATTTATGTTAAATTAAAATATTTTAAATATTATTTTTTTATTTTTATTTATTTTCTAACAGTTAATGAGTAAGCAAGGAAAAAAGGTTTTTTCCTAGAACGCTTACGCAGTAGTTAGTTCCACACATGATAATCATTTGAATCTGAACCAAATTTGCTGCATTTTATGACCAATAAAAAATCAGCAAGTTAAAAATAGACATAATTGTTCATAATAAAATGGTCATAAAACTGTATAAAAATAGCAATCAAGTTAATCTACTTGATCATTTGAACTAACGTTTTTTGAATTTTAAAAGATTAATAATACCGACATTACCGCTTTAGTCGATCATCAGAAAAGATTATAAATAAGATGAACTTGGGATTTGCAATGAAAAAGTTTTCAAAAAATAACAATAATCTTTCGATAAAAAGTTTCTTACTTTTCTAAATAAAAAATAAAAAACTTTTATAAAACTTTATCGTATTCATATATTTATAACTCGCATTTTAAAAAAAAAAAAAGAAAAATGACTTATCAAAATTCTTCGTTACGAGCATGTGTATTTATCGATTCAAGTAATCCTGAATTACCAAATCAAATTATGAATCATTCTTCTCATCCTTTTATTAAACCACCTTTTCCACCTCTTATCGATCCCAAAGATTTATTAATTATAAGTAAAGATAATAAACCTTCTCGTTCTCCTAACGCATTCATCATTTATCGTAAAGTTTTCTTAAAAACTACTAGGGATCAAGGATATTTCTTACCCATGACAATCGTATCTTCAATGGCATCTAAATCTTGGGATAAAGAATCGGATGAAGTAAGGGATTATTATAAAAAACTTGCTAAAGAAGCTTATAAATATCGTACTGAAAAATTCCCCAAAAAAGTTAAAAGACGTAGAAAGAAGGAACCTTGGAATGCAAATATCGCTTTTCAAAATGATTTACACAATACATTTTTCGATAATTCGAATCCATCAGGAAATTTATCATCTTCTCCGGAACTTTTCTTATCGTCGGAAAATATGTTTTCTTCTCCAAATATAGAACAACAAATTAACGAAATTAATGAAATTCCATTGTTTAACGAATATTCAAGTCCTTCTTTATCAAATAATAGTAGTATTATGTCCTCTCCTGAAATTACATTACATGATAACATTCCTGAATTCTTAAATCATGATAATTCTCAAAATATTTTACATAATGATTTAGAACAGTTTAATATTGATTCATATAGTCAATTACTAAATCAATTAAATCAAGATAATAATAATTATATTTCCTTCAATAACAATTTAAATAATTTAAATTCAATTTTGGATACAACGAATACGACGAATACGACGACGGCAAATCAATCTGATGAAACTGCGGAGGATTCCAATGTAGAAAATTTACCGTTATACCCCCCAAATTTTTTACCATATCAAAACGTTTTAGGGATTAATTTGAATCCAATCGGTTTAGGATACGAAAATACTTATTCGTAAAATAAAACTTTATTATTTTTGTAAAAAAAAAAAATTAGGAACAAATGTACAAATTTTTTTTTTTTTATTATTGGGGGCTGTGCTAAATAGAATATCGTAAATACTTTAGAATTTTTTTTATTTTTTTTTTTTTAAAAAAAAAAAATACATATATATATATTAACTTTATTTATTGGATCGGCGTAATGAACTTTAAAGAAAGGTGGCGCAATGAACTTTAAAAAAAGGTGCATAATAGGCATAATAACAAATACACAAATTTTTATGCAATGACGCGTTGCGTGATTGTAGACCAAAATTTTACGCCAAAATTGAGTGACAAACAGAAGTCGGCTGCTAGTTTAACCGGCTCATCAAACGATGTAACTATAACCAAAAAAAAAGTTTGGTACACAAGTCTTTGAAGCTTTGAACAATTTTTTATAATAACCTTTTAATATACAGGTTCTTGATCTCAGAAACTTATTCCATATACCAATATTTTATATTATTTCCGTTAGATTTTAATTTCAGAAAAGAAGAAATTGGTAAATATTTTCGCCATTCTTGTACGTTCATGAAATTATATTCAATATTAAACAATAAATATTCTATATTTATTAATAATATAAAAAAATATAACATTCCTTATAATATATTTTATGTAACAGCCTTTCTTCCATTGCTTCAATTACACTAATTGTGCATTTTTTTTCCTTGACATTCATAATATAAGTGTTTGCAGATTCAAATATGATGAAATTCGCGTAATGTGACACATCACTGTAATCACGTCCGAAATGTAACGAAAATTTATAACTTTGAAACTTTCTCCGAGTAATCTTTGAAATATGTCGTAACGAATAAATTTGAAAGGATAGACTATGTAAAAATCCTTATTAAATGCTTATTATTATCAATATTTAAAAGAAGTTTCTAAATACATAAAAAAATTTTGAAATTTATTATGTAATAAAAAATTATTACTTTCAATATAAAACCATTAAACTTTTTCTTCCCAAATTTCATAATTTCTTGTCCAAGATATAGCTTTGCATTAACCAAAAAGGAAACTGATTCTAATATTAAAGTATCGAAAAAAAAATTGATTAGTTCGTACTATTTATACTTTACCTATATATCAATACTTGTACATCAACTTGCTTTCATGAAGAAAAGTATAATCATCGTGCCATCTCATGGAGTTTGTACGACAGTATCCGGATAGACTTAAATATGTAACTATTTTATTTGATAATAATATTAAAGTACAGTATTAAACAATATAAATATTTTTATAAATTATAAAATATTATTTGTAGGAAAAATGAACACGAATTTTTCAAAGATATTACGAAATAAACCATTTTTTATCAAAAACTATACTTTATTCCGGTCAGCTGATCAAAAATAATTCGTAACGACGTAACGTATTAATCAACTTCGGTGGGATTTTATAATTAGTTTCTCCATTTTCGCTCTTTGCAAATCTTTGTAACTAGTTTTATTGTCTTTACTTAAAAAATAAAAAAATTATAAAATAAAATAAAATTAACGTATTTTTAAAATAAAAAATTAGTATATGGAATAGTTGGCTTTGGATCAAGAACTTTTCACAAAAAAAATGGTTAATTGG